AAAGCAAATATTACAAATGCATTTCCTGTGCATCGAAATTTCCAATGGTAAACTTTCTACACACTGTCAGAATGAATTTACATATGGTGCTGATAACCTCAGTAACAGTACTGAACCTTATTTTGTTATAGTTAACGATAAATAAATATATATAAATGATTTGTCTGTTAATCCCTTGTTTCCCTTATCTCTTTGGACAGACTTTGCTTTAACATGTATATTCATCATATGACGAGTTTTGAAAACACAGCAATATTTTTCAATACTAAATTGCAATTGTTTGATCCTGTTCAGTTAAAAACAATGTTTGAATTTCTAAAGTGCATAATGTAATAGCTACAAAATTATTAAAACTATATTTAATAGTTATTTCTTCATTGAATGTTTGTTTAAAATCTAATAAAACAATGTCCCAAAAACACGTAGGTGATACACATACAACAGACATACCATAAAATGAAATGGTTAACTCAATTACACACCATCTGTAGCCAAATCAGGTGGTGTTGACCACATAAAAGCTAGCTCTAGCTGGGACAGGCTCTGTTTGATACACATTCAGATGACTAGTTATAAATCAGTTCCACCTTGAAAAACATTTGGTTGGTTATTGAACTGCAAGTCAGCTTAGCTAGCAAAGACTAGTATAAGAAGCTATGGCAGCTAAAAGTCGTTTAATCAGGGTTTACCACTGAGATCACGTGTAAAATATGGTTTTGTGACATGAAAAAATCATCATTCATGTTCATATATATAAACACACACACACACACACACAACTGTGATTTCCATATAAAATTTTAAATTAAGAAAGTAGTGGTCATAAATAAATTCCTTTTGTTTCTGAATAATTGTGTATGATATAATCTCCATCAACAAACTCTGCTACTTACTATGTAAATTACCATATACACATATAAGCACACAGATAACTGTTCTATGTGCAAACAGTAATTTGAGTTTCATATAAATCAAGTTGAGATATACGTTTGGTACCATGAGAGGCAGGCTTGGTTTCTACATGGATGTGAGATTACTCGGATGAACTCTACTTTAGTTTTACACTTTCCTGCAATTGACACTGTATTAAAAAAAATAATATATATATATATATATATATATATTGAAGTGTTTCCTTTCATGACTCTCACTAAACAGAATTGAAAACTTACCTCCTAGATAGCCTGGACCTTGACTTACATCACCACTTAGTCCTGTTGTATCAGGCATCAACAGCAGACCTGGAACTAACTGTCTTCCTAATTTCCCCTCACCATCCATTTTTCACTTACAACTGTTATAAAAATTATATTAGGTCAATATTATAATGACAAACAATAATCTACCAATAGCAACTTCAAAGATACCAAAAAGAAAAAATATTTTCTCAATGAAAACTAACTTTAGCAGTTACATTTGTATCCAAATATATAGATATTTAATAAATATTGTTATATGCATCATTAGCTCGTTCAACTGCAAAAGAAAACAAAATAAAGTTATGTATATGCAGTACTAGAACTTTGATTAGAACAAAGTAAATGAATCTTAAATTTTGAAATCAATACATTTATGATGTGAGTGATTTAAATCTATAATTTTTCTCTTTAAAAAATACAGTAAGCTTCAAGATAATTTTTAAAAACAAAACTTATTTATCAAAGACTAAACTAAATATTTTATACAAAATTAATGCACTTATGATTTTATATACTCGTGGAATG